AGAGGTTAGCAAGGTCAGCCAGCACCTCCAGTTGCTCTAAAACAATAGCTTGGACTCAGGAGCCAAACCAAGGACGTCCAGCACAGCAATGGCCATGATTTCTTTGTCCTAAGCCATGGGTGGGAAGTATCTAGACACTTGGGCCATTTCATAAACCAGTTCCAGAACAGGAGAATGTAGGAGAAAATTACCTTCCCCGAGCTCTCCCCACTCTTGTGACCCTCGAGGTAGCCTCCACCTCAATATTAGCAGCTCCAGCCTGTCTGGCTTCCATAGCTTGCCATGCTGAGGCTGGGCAGCCATGCCAGGTTGTCTTCCATGAAGCTCTGGGATATCAGAGCCTAGGATCATGTGAAAACCATATGGTACACCTGGGTACAAGCAAAAAGCCTGGCTGCTCGTCTTTTGTGCAAGTTGTATGGCTTTTTCTGTGTCTGTGACCTGGAATCTTGGTTGGAGCTTTCCACTGCTCCCACCTAGACACCCACTCACTTGCTCTTGGGCCCCCAGTTCCTGGGGCTCATCTGGAGACAGCACATTCCAAGGAAATTATAGGTAAGTGGCTAATGACCTCCGATGAGGGGTAGGAATGGGGAGAAAGAGCAGACAGACAGACTCAGGTGGAGTCAGGTACAGAGACAAGGCCCACCCTGATCCTGGCTACCTGCCCAGGCATTGCTCTGCAGAGCTGGCCTCCAATCACTGTCTCCTCATCTCTCATCTCCTCATCTCCATCTGTCTCTTTGTGAGGCCCATTCTTTGAGCCTCCATCTTGGGCATCACAGTCCCTATAGCAGCCAACAAAACCAAAAAGCAAAGCTGAGACCCTTACCCTGGGCAGGGAGACCCTATATGTGGCTCAGGAGAGTCTGGCTGGTGCTGTCCATCATACTGGGTGGTTGGCTTTGAGCCTCATTACCTCTGCACAGGGTAATGGCTGCTGTTTGTGGAGCTGAGAAATCACAGGCCTAGCCATGCATAGAAGCAGCCCCCCAAAATCCTAATAATGTAAATGAGATGTTTATGGATCTGTAGGTGTAGATATTCAAATTATACTTCTGTGCCAGCTCCTTCCTAGTCCCTCCTTTGCCTTCTCACAGAACATTGACCCTACTATCAGTATCTCCACTGATACGCCCTGAAAAGTCACTCTGTGTGCAAAGTATTTTCCCTGCTATAGTGAGTGGAGGCCCTGCTCCTCCTGGGATGAGAATCCACTGATGTTACAGCCCAAGGGGCTAGGGCTCTGTAAGGAAGACCAGAGAGTTCCAGTTCTTGGTCTAGCAGGTAGGCTCCCTAACAAGATTATAGACAGCAGAAAAGGAAGATGGATCCCTGAGCCTGGAATTTTTTAATATGGCCTAGACTTCCAGGTCAGTCAAGACCTCAGTAATTGGCAAGTGGGAGAACAGCCACTTCTTCCACACTTGGGTTCCCTTCTATTTACTCAACAGGGACCCTAGTATGCTCCATATGGACCCTAGTATGCTTTGCACTAACCCTGGCAAAGTAGCTGGCATGCAAGCTACAGTCAAGTGAAACACAGATCTCTCCAGACAGCGCCAGTCCCTGACGCCACAATGGGGGTTGGGGGTGGGGGTCCAGATGAAAGGTGGGGATGGGTCAGTGGCCAAGCCTACTACCACACAGACTGGCGCCAACACCACCTCAGTGCCTGGCTTAATTATTCTGCTTCATTGCCCAGCAAGACCCTAAGGAGGGGCCCTCCTTTAGCACCTCACAGAGGGTCAAGGTCTTAGGTGAGAGGTAACAGTCTACACACTTTGTCTTCTTCCAGTTTCTGTTTCTACTTCCTCACCTCATACACTGCCCACAGACCTGTGAGCAGACTCCTCACCTCTCAGCTGTATATTTCCATTTGGGAGGTCATTCTAGGACAAGGGAGACTCTCCCCTGCTCAGTCTTGAACACAGAATTCTGATGGCCTGCCATAGTTTTGTTTTGAGAGAAGTCAGGCTGAAAGTTTAGCACCACCTTTTGATGGCCCAGGTGCCAAATAGAGATGTTATCTTGAAACTCAGCAGGCTGGGACATTCTGAAGCCAATTTATATTCTTTGACAGGAGTTTGCCAGAGCCAATGTAATGTAGGAATAGAGGGACCTCACATTAGTCACTGGCTTCTACCTTGAAGATGGGCTGCTAGGTCTGTCCTGCATATCCTCTATGGGCCTCTGATCCTTGGGGAGTGGTGGCCATCACTTGGGAAGGTGGCAAGAAGGGGAACTCCTTCCTGCCTTAGCCTGGGCAGACTTCCCTAGCCCAAACTTTTTGTCTTAGCACATGTGGGCCTGTAGGTGCTCTCCAACTTGGCACATAGTCACATAAGACGTTGGCAGTATTGTATGTTGTTTATATAGCCTTTAGCTCCCTTCAGCAACCTCACCAGTGTGTGGAACCCTCCTCATAGGATGCAGGCCTCACAGGGCCCCTATGCTGACTAGTTTTTGTTTTTTTTCTTTTTGTTTTTGTCAACTTGACAAAAGCTAGAGTTATCTGAGAGGAGAGAATCTCAATTGAGAAAATGCCTCCATAAGATTGGCCTGACCACATGTGGTACACATCTTTAATCCCAACACTTGGGAGGCAAAGGTAGGTGGATCTCTATGAGTTCAAGGCCAACCTGGTCTACATAGTGAGTTCCAGGACAGCCAGAGCTACATAGTGAGACCCTGTTTCCAACAACCCCAAACAAAAGCCAAACAAATAAACAAACAAACAAAAAAGGACTGGAGACAAATCTGCAGAATATTCTCTTGATTGATGTCAGAAGGTAATGCACTCCCTGGGAAAATGGTTCTAGGCGTCGGAAAAAAAAAAAATGGAATGAACTGGACATAGTGGCACACACCTTTAATTCCAGCACTCTGGAGGCAGAGGCAGGCGGACCTCTGAGTTTGAGGCCAGCTCATTCTACATAGAGTTCTAAGACAGCCAGGGTTACATAGAGAGATCATGCCTTAAAAATGAAGGGGAAAAAAAAAAAAAAAACAGGTTAAGCAAGCCACAAGAAGCAAGGTCAACCAGCAACGTTCCTCTGTAACCTCTGATTAAGCTCCTGCCTCCAGTTCCTGCTTCCAATTCCTGCCTTGACGTCTCTCATTGATGGAGTGTGATCTGAGAATTAATTGTAAACTGAAATAAGCCCTTTTCTCCCCTATTTTCTTTTGGTTATAGTGTTTTTATCACAGCAACAGAAGCCCTAAGACAGAAATTGGTACCAGGAGTGAGATAATACTGTGACAGACTTGACCATGTGTTTCGGGAAGGATTATAAAAGGACTGTGGATCTTAGGGCTAGAAAAGCCATTGAATGCTCTGAGCTTTGTGAGCTATCGTGATAATTACAATATGCTGGGAGCAGTACAGACAGATGAGGGAGGCCTGGTCTGTAAGTTTCTTTTTTCTTTTTTTTTTTTTGGTTTTTTGAGACAGGGTTTCTCTGTGTAGCTTTGGAGCCTATTCTGGCACTCGCTCTGGAGACCAGGCTGGCCTCGAACTCACATAGATCTGCCTGCCCCTGCCTCCCGAGTGCTGGGATTAAAGATGTGCGCCACCAACGCCCAGCCTGTTTTTGTTTTCTTTTTATTTATTTATTTAGTTATTTATTTATTTTTAATATTTATTTATTTATCTGTAAAGTTTTAGAGGGAAGTTTGAGTGTCCCTTAAAGCCTATTATCAGAGCTGCTTTGCTATTTTGAATTAAGAATCTGTGGTTCCGGTCAGCTAGGGCTGAAGAATTGGTTGGTTTTTTTTTTTTTTCGTTTGTTTGTTTGGTTTTTCGAGACAGGGTTTCTTTGTGGCTTTGGAGGCTGTCCTGGAACTAGCTCTTGTAGACCAGGCTGGTCTCGAACTCAAGAGATCCACCTGCCTCTGCCTCCCAAGTGTTTGAATTAAAGGCATGCACCACCACCACCGCCCGGCAAATTGGCTATTATTAACAAGAGGCTAGAATCAGCTGTGATTAGGAAGAAACCACAATTATTGAAGGAAAATCTTTTGGCAGGATTAGCACACAGAAGCTGTGATCCAGAAGCAGCCAAGGCCAGCAGCTGAACTTGGTAATATGTAAGAGTTTCCTCAGGTTTAAGGCATGAAGGATCATGAACAGCAACTGAGGCCTGGCACTTGTAAGGGCCAGGAAAGGCCATTGGTGAAGATGCAGCCTCATTTGCAGTAAAAGTTCCAGGATTGAAGGGGGTCATAGAAGTTGAGGATTAGAACATGTAGCTCCCTAAAGAGAGCCCAGGAAAGGCTGCTAATGAAGGTGCAGCCCAGCTACAGAAGAAAACCCAGCATTTTGGAGATGCCAGTCCCATAGGATGATAAGCACTAAGGACAGCAACAGGTGTGGGAGCGAGCCTGTGCCTATAAGCAAGCTGCATGTGCTATGGATGGCAAAGCCATAAGTGCAACTGCCAAGACCCTTTGGAAAAAGACTGTGAGTGGATCCCAGACATAAAGCACCAAACTTTATACTCTTGGACTTCACTCTTGCTTTGATTGTGACTGTACCCTAGTTCTTTTCTCTTGGAATAATAAAGTATTTAACTTGTTTTTTGATTTTACAGAAACCCACAATTATGAGGTCTTGGATATTTTAGAGAAATTTTGAACTTTAAAAAGAGACTTTGGAGTTTTGCTTTGTTTAGTTTTTCGAGACAGGGTTTCTCTGTGTAGCCCTGGCTGTCCTGGAACTCACTGTGTAGACCAGGCTGGCCTCAAATTCAGAGATCCACCTTAGGGTCAACTCAGTCCCCTAGCCCATGGAGAAGTTTTGCTGGCTTTCCCGCTCCTCCCCTTACTGCCTGGAAGTCTGACTGCAGACCTTGTGAGGGGTTTCACTCTGGCCCTTTGTGGCTACAGTCTGCTTTGGGATCACATGTGAACAATCATCTGCTGGCTGTATATATCCTGTTCATACCTTAACCAACTGGTTACCACATCTACCAACACAATAACCAGATAGCACCCAAGAGTGATGGAGAAATCTGGAGATCTTTATTGCTATGACAACTATTAACCGGGGAGCAGTCCTTTGCAGCTCCTCTAAGAAGCAAGGTGTTGGCTCCTCAGTCATCATCTCTTCAGCTCTCCTATGTACCCAAAAGCACTCCGGAAAAACTGGAGCTGTTCTGGATGGTGAGGACTGCTCCAGAACTGTTGTCCACGAACACAGAGACATACTGTCCAGACTGAAAACATTACAGTGAGCATCATTACTAGTGGATGGCCCTGGCAAAGAAGCCTACCCAACCACAGGGATAGCATTTGGAGTCAATACTCCCTAACAGTTGAAACACCATCCATACAGATCTAAAATCATCCTAACCAAGCAGCACCCTCCTAGGCACAAGGGTTCAGAGGTCCTGACCACCTACTTGCACTAGGCTATAAGACCCTCCCAGGCTTAAAGCCCACCCGCCTGTTCCCTGAGCCTGTATCCTTACCTGTAGCTGCAGCAGCCCTTGAACCTGCACTGTGAAGACCCTGCTGTTGCTCTCCAGGCCTGATACAGCCTCCAAGGACCTGGGCATAACACCACAAGGCAACAGTGTAGAGGCCACTGGCCCATGGTGCCCAGATCCCCCTCAAGGTGGCTACTTGTGATCTCAGTCCAAGGACAGATCCCAGAGGACTGTGGTGGGCAGCAGGACTCACTCACGTGTGGTGATGGCACAGGGACTCAATACAGATGAGGACACGAATAGTATCCCGGGTACGCAACCGGCCTCTGCTCTGTAGTTCACTTCGGTCTATGGAAAGAGCAGCAGGTAGGGGGGGCTTCAGGACACTGCCTAGAACAAGCTCAGGTGTCTGTAAGGGAAGAGGGTGATTGGCCCCAAGCAGAGTAGGGTGGTATCTCTGAAACACCCACCACCCATATTGCACATACAGGCTAACTCACCCACATGCAGACTGGCAGAAAACTGGAAGATGGCAGAGACTGGGGCTGTGAATCTTCCCAAGGCCAGGCTCAGGCCAGATCCCCGCAGAAAGGCACCCTGGGCAGCAGGCTGTGGGAGATTAGGGGGTGACTACCATGTACACTCTAGCCAAGGGAAGTACCTACAGCTCAACCCCAAACAGGTCTTTCCTGGGCCTCATTCTCTTTGTGGAAAGAACAGAGCTGACCTGTGTTCCAGGCTCCAGTGGGTAGACACAGGACCCTAAAAGCTATCATAGGGAATGGCAACTCTAGGCCCCACTTTTGTCTTAGTATTGTGTGAGGCACACTGGAACTCCTAACTTTGACAAAGGCTGGCCCTTACCCTCTACAACAGTATCTTTAGGAACCAATACAAGCATGTGTCCAGCAACTGTCCAGTGGTGTGTGGGGGCCCATCTTGCCAGTTGGTGCCCATCCCTGTATCCTGTCCCCTTGGTATATAAGCCCCTGAGATAAAAGGACTATTTTGGCTTGGGTCCCCACTCACAGCCTGGAATCCTTGTAGTTCCACCAGTGTCTTCTTGTCCACTAGCACTGGACCTTTCAAGCGGCAGTGGAAGGCCTCAACCACCAGCTGCTGGCTGGGTTCCTGGGGTAACAATGTATCTGGTAGCCCTGAGAATCGAAGTTTCGTGGCCTCTGTGGGGAGGGCCATTGGGTCAGGCCCCTTCTAGCCCTGAAAGAGCCTCCTGGGCTTCTGAAAGAGGTTGGGTGCAGGGCAGTCTTACTTTTCAGCATCTCCTGAAATTCCTGCAGCAAGGCCTCTGGGGTGACTTCCATACCAGGGGATCCAGGGGGACCAGGAGGACCAGGGGGTCCAGGGGGTCCTGGGAGACCCGAGAGGCCTCGCTAGAAGAGGTAAAACAAAGTGAATCTAAGTAGGACCCCCACTCACCCACTTCCCTGGGCTTAGAACCTCAAAGGACTCCATAAGGGCTAGTTCCACAGCAGCTCAGGGGCTTACCGACTTATCCCGGCCACGGCATCGTTTTCTAGAGGCCCCATCATCTGGCCGGCGAACAAAGTTCAGCCATGTCATGTGGGCATCTGAGAGCTCAGGTCCAGAGGCCTCTGGTGACTTAAAGGCCAGAGAAGCAAAGATATCAATGAAATGCAGGTTAGTGGGGGATTCAGGTATACAGGAAGATGTCACAGGGATAACTCAGGCCACAGCCCAAAGGGACTATCCCGGGTGATCAAAATCTAGATGTCCCCATGGGCAGGGAATTGGGGTAGGCAAGGTGAGGTCTGGAGCCTCTGAGAAAGCAAGAACCTGATGCTAAGGCACCTTGGGCCTTTACAGAAATGACCATGACTCCTCTGGCCCTGCTCCCATGAAGAAGGGCATGATGGACTCACATGGGGCAAGCCTGATATATCTCTGATAAGAGGCTTGGCCTTAAGTAAGAAAAGGGGACTACAGATATAGATATATGGATGGAGAGAGTATGCTTGGTAAGGCCCAAGCCCATCTCAAGGGACAATTAGGATGTGGGGAATGTCTGTATGCCAGGCTGGCACTATGTGGACTGGACGAAGTATAGCCACCACTAGCCTAGCTGTGACAGTCTGGTTACTTCAAGATGCTCTGCCTTCATTGACCAGAGTTAAAAGCCAAGGGTCCTGGCCCAACACAAAGTCAATCCTGAGTAAGATCAGAGTGAGTACTGGAGATCATAATCAGAAATAAAGATGTTCTCCACCCAGGGACAGATACAAAGACATCTGAATGCACCAAAATTCTCAAACCAGATCTGTTTGACCCCTTGGAACTAAGGGCATTAGACACAGCTGAGCCAAGTGCAAAGGCTGACAGAACAAGCCCACCCCCAGCACAAAGAACAGGGGCACCTGGAGAGTGAGTTCATAAAGGCTCTACCCCTGCCAACATCTTCCCAAACTGTCAACCTCCACACCTCTGGAAGGACAAGCCCGGGCAGGGCAGAAAAAAAAAAAAAAAAAAAAAAAATGGGCACCTCTCTTCCCTGGTATCTAATGAGGATTACTCAGAACCCAACACCGGCAGGAGCTCCCACTATAAGGGTCATGATCTCCCTTTCGTCTGCCCAGGAACTAGCCCACAGCTTACACTCCCTCGGCTCTGTTACAGACTATCAGAAAAATGGGACCTCAGGCTTGAGATGGGTTGATGTGAGCTGAGAGGCAGCCAAGCTGGCTGACATAGAGACACCCTAGGAAGGAGAGATACAAGGGTCAAAGATTCAGAGACAAGGACTTCAATTTGGGTAACAGCTGTTTCCATTCCTGTCGTGGGGGCCTCTAGGATGGCATCAGTAGAGACTTTGAATGCTCAGGAGAGATTCCTGTCCCTAGAGGACTCTAAGAATGGGACACTTTGCAAGCAAGAAGCCACAGCATATGAGACTACCACGGGACCCCTGGAAAGCACAGGGGACAGGCTAGTCAGGCTATTGCCTACCTCAGGAGTTACAGTACATAAGTGCCCCATTTACCAGTCTGCCTCAAGCCCTTCCCCACCCTCACCTGAAACAGCAATTATAGCTAATGGTATTAGATTGCTGAAAAGCATGCCGGGGCTTCAAAGAGTGAACTGTAGCCCCACCAGGAGTACCTCGTCTCAGACCCAGCAGGCATGGCAAAGGGAGGCTCCTCACAGGCCAGCCCCTGTCCTGGCTGCAGCAAACTCTAAGCCACAACCAGTGGTCAAGGTCTCAGGCAGTGCTCAGGTTCCTCCCCAAGAAGAAGGTGAGCAGAGCTGCTGAGGTAGGGGGTCATTCCGAGCTCTGAAGCTGTACTCAGAGCTGCACACCCACATGCGCCCCAGCCCGTGCCTACCTTGAAGGAGCCTGGCAATCTCTTGTAGTTAGGTGTGGTAATATTAGGGGACTCCACATTAACGGCCAGCTGCTGAGACCTCTTGGGTCCCTGGCGTGCCCCTACTCCTGCAGTCTGTAGCCAGAGGAGGGCTGCTGTGGCCCAGGCCCAGGCCCACATAGCTCAGTCTCCACAGAGGCTTAGGGATGAGAGCACGGGCCAGTCTTCTCATGGGGGCGGCTGCATTCAAAGCCCCTGCGCGGGGGCGTGGCCCAGAGACGAGCCCGGCTACCGCTGGTGCATGTCTACAGGATGAGCCAGAGCACAGCTGAGAGCTACTGTCTCCACTGGCCTCCCCTCCTGCATAGTAGGCACCGTTGCTGGTGCCCCACCACCAAATGAACCCTCCCTCCTTCCCAAGCCTCTTTGGCTCCAAGGGGAGGATTTACACAGGGCTCATCCATTGTCTGGAAGGCGGGGCGGAGCGGGGCGGGGCGGGGCAGGGCAGGGCAGGGCAGGGCAGGAGCAGGACCCCTGTGACCAGTGATTCCATCACCTCTTTTTAAGAAGTAGGAAGGAGCAGGACTGCATCTCCCCTGCACAAGCAGTGGGTAGCCTCTACTCAGCAGGATTTCTACTTAAACTGGGGGTGGGGGTGGGGATGGAGGTGGGGTGCTGTTAAATCAACTCCGTGGCATCTTTCATACTCACCTTCAGGGCAGTGAATCCCATGTGATTCATTCACTTTAGGAAACTGTCTACAAATCTTGCAGACCTTCCCACACACACTTCAAGCCCAGAGGCAGCCCCTACCTTAAACCCCCGACAGCACTGGGAAAGTAGAATGTCTCCATCACCCGGTTGCCTGCCCATCCCAGCCAGTGGTCTTTCCTTACATGAGGCCCACCAGGCTGACCTCTGCCAAGTTACAGCAAGGAGAGGCTGGTGGTCTATCTTGACTCTACACCAGTCACAGGGCCAAATTCTACCATCTGCCCTCCTCCACTGGCAGTCCCCTAGGTCTGTCTCCTAAGAAGTTAGCACAGGCCCAGGCCACACTGCAAGGGGGAGCTTTCCCCTCTTAATCTCTGGACAGTGGAATTCCCCCTCCAGTACCTGTGACACAGTGGCAGGTGCCCAGAGAAAGGGGTCTTCTGAATCACCTTCAGGCGGCAAGTCGGTTAGCTGAGGCCATGCCAAGCCAATGACTACCTTGGTCTCATTGACTATGAGGTAGTGGCCCTTGTAACACTGGGCCAGGATTCCCAATAGCCAGATGACCTCCAACTGGTAAAAGCTGTGGCTAAGAACAGTCAGCCAGTAGTTCTAACTGCTCTATAAAGAAATGGGAGCTGCATCCCATTGGTTCCAGTGGGTTTGGGTTCTGGTAAAACAGAACAGAATGTTCTTGAATAGACACCCTCAACTCACACACCAAAGAGTGAGAGGTGGCCAAGCACTCAAACCCAGCTCCAGGCCACACCCAGTCAGAGAAGCCTAACAAGACTGGGGTGGGAGAGAATGCAAAGAACATGCCCCTCCCTCATGTTCCTGGCTCCCAGACCAACTGTCACCTCCAGGAACAGCAGAGGGTAATCTGGAAGTGTTTCACACATATTGTCAATGCCTCAAGCCCTCAAAAGTGCCTTTGGTCCTGTTTCCTGGTGAGGCTACTCTGGATAAGGAAGTACCAGCGTTTGATCCCTGGCAGTGACCTATACCTAATACATATAGACATACATACATACATACTTCAAGAAAGACAGCCTCTATGCCTGGAGTTCAAAGCTCAGGGTTGGGGGAGAGCAAGTGCCTCAGCCTAGAGACTCCCTCATCACAGATGCAGCACTCTGCTCTTCTGGTTTACCTTTATCCTAGTGGCCTAACCTTTCTTAGTGTGACTTGTGGGATTCCCCAGCTCTGCCTTGCAGGCAAGTTTATAAGCAGGTAGGCTAGGAGGAAGTGAGGATTTCATTTTATGGCTGGGAATGGACTAAAATTACCAGTTTTTCAGATTCAACATCCCCTTGCCACAAACAACTTAGAAAACAACCAAAAGAATTCTACTGTGGTTCATGAGAGCCCTGATCAAGACGACCAAGGCAACCGCCAGGAAGATCAGGTCCAACTTCTGGCTCTCATCCCCCAAGCCCTGGACAAAACAGCTTGACAGGAACCTACTGACTCACTATACAAGGAGGTTGTTCCCTTACCCATTCTAAAATGGATTCCCAAAGGCCAACACCTAGGAGGCCAGCCTCTGCTAAATAGAAAGTTCAGACCAGCCTGAGCTATATGAGACCCTATTTTTTTTAAAAAAAAAAAACAGTTTCTTCCAAAGCACCTCTCCTAAATATCAATAGAGTATGAGCTTTGAGAGAGGCTTTTCACCTGTACAAGGAAGATCTATTGGAAGGCAGTCCAGGGTGACCAACTGGCCCCACAAGTTACTTCTCCCAATAAGGGCAACACATAAACAAGGTTAGACATGCTTGATCCAATGGAACAAAGGTCATCTTTTATTTGGGGTCAGTGCAGGCAACACACTGTGGATGCAGGGTCCTGCAGCAAAGGAGCTGGAAGAGGGGCGTGGTCTTTGAGATAACCTACCAAGCTGTCTCAGCAGTCTTCAGTTGCTACACTAAGTGCGACACCTTGTGGTCAGAGAGCAAGTTGACTTTTTACTTCTACTTTAAGAACAAGCACTTTCTAAGATTTTTCTTTCATTTTGGGATGCCAAGAATTGAGATTTCAAGCTGGGCGTTGGTGGTGCACACCTTTAATCCCAGAGGCAGAGGCAGGCGGATCTCTGTGAGTTCGAGGCCAGCCTGGTCTCCAGAGCGAGTGCCAGGATAGGCTCCAAAGCTACACAGAGAAACCCTGTCTCGAAAAACCAAAAAAACCAAAAAAAAAAAAAAAAAAAAGAATTGCGATTTCAGCCAAACAGTGGTAGCCCAAGCCTTGAATCCTAGCTCTCGGGAGGCAGAGGCAGGTGGATCTCTGAGCTTGAGGACAGTCTGGTCTACAGAGTAAGTTCTAGGACAGCGCAGTGCTACACAAAGAAATCCTGTCTCCAAAAAAAAAAAAAAAAAAAAAAAAAAGAGCTGAGATTTCACATACAGAGAACACTGCATATTGAGTAAGCCAACATTCTGTCTTATAAGAATGTCAGGAAACAAGGAGACTTTGGAATAGATGCTAAACAGTTACCTAAGAGCAACCGAGTATTCCTGGACCAGGGAAGAACTAATGTTACTACTAAAAGGAAGTTCCAGTCTTTAGGGCTCTACCCACTGCCACCATGCTATGCATAGACACACCTCAGCCCATAGCTGCAGACTTTGAAGGCATAGGCCCAGCAGTGGGTTATCAATCTACCTTTTGGCAACAGCAACATACCCTCCCCGCAAGCCAGGCATGACTTGCTCATTGCCTACCAGAGAAGGACATTAAAATAGACTGTGTAGCATTTAAGAAAGAAGGTCTAATTAAAGCCTTTTCAGGAGGGGTATATACTAATTGTAATTTACAGAGCTAAACCAAAATGATCACACAGGTCACACTTCAACTTTACCACTGATCTCTGAAATGAAGTTGGTTTTAGGAGCCTCTTTGGGTCCCCTGGTGATGACAGATGTCCAACACAGACAATGTCACTGCCTTTAATTGGGGCCTTACAGATAGATGTCAGCTTTCCCAATTACTGTAGATACATTCAACACAAATACTAAAAAGGTAAGATGTTGGCCATAAAGGAGTCCAGTGTCTAAAAATTGAGAACTTGCCAGCTTAGACATTTAAATCTGATGTGTTTTCTGGGCAGTTTCCCTTTCCATAATCTGTAGAAATCAACATCTAACACAGGTCACCTAAAGATGTTAAGAGAACTTACAGAAGCCTCATGATATGTTAAACCCAGCCCATGGGGACTTGAGTTCTCCACTGTCCACCAACATAGGAGGAATATAGGCTTCTGGCCAACCAGATATAAGGAATTCAAAGAAAAGGCTCAATAGGCACTCAGGGATCCTACATCTCCATAACTCAAAGGAGCTGAAAAAAGGGATGGGTAATATGGTTGACAGCAATACCAGGGCCAACCCCCAAAGCCTTCACTGTAGTCTTCAGCCACTGTTTGTGGTCAGAGAGCAATTTGACTCTTCTACCTTAACAAGAACAAAAAAAGCACTTTGTATAAATACTTCCTCTCATTCATAAACATAGTTTCACAATTCGCTCCTCTCCTAGCCCCCAACTACAGCTGTTACCATCCAGCCCACCTAGCCCCACTAGGGGTTTGCAGCACTGGTCCCACCATGAAGCCTTCAGCTCCTCTACTAAGAACACACAGAGTATTTATTTGATAGGCATTAAAGTTTTATATTTTTAAGTGATCAAATCTAATAAAATGGAAAAAAAAACAAACAAACAAACCAGGTTTACTAAACAGTCCAAAAGACAACACAGGAGTAAGCAATAAAACCAAAGCGTGAGTGGCCCTTGTCCACATCAGCCTCAAGCGGAGTTAAGACTCTCCAATCTCCTCCATATCACACATTTTGGATTTTGCTTTCTTTTTAAGGTTTTTAAAAAGTGAAGCCCAGGAGTCCAGCAGGCCATCCTGTGCTTAGCAGCAAGTCCATCCTGCCTGCATCAAGCTCTGGCCCATGTCCCTCAGCAGCAACTGTAGATTGCGGTGGCTCTTGAGCCTCACTCCTGTGCTATGCTTCTCAGCACATACTTGACAGTGTAGGCAAAGGCTGCAAACCCAACTATAACAAACAAGTTCGCCAAAGCGCCGCCCAGGAGTCCATGATGCCTGTTGGCCTGTGGGAGCCCACCGAGGTTCGGGCCGGCAGCAGGTGCATGCCCATTGAGGAGCTGGAGCCCATTCTGGCCACGGTGCATCTCCCCATCAGGAACCACGTCTGGCAAGGGAAGGTTCTGGGGCCTGCTACTTAGTTCATCTTGTGCTTTTTGTTTCTGTTTAATTTCCTGAGAGAAAAACACAAGAACCCTCAGTTGTCTTAACAAACCTATTCTTCTGGGAGTAGCACTCGAGTTTTAATAAACTCAAAGCTACCACCCAGAACACAGTTCTCCATTCCCCTGCAGTAGATCCTAACCCAAGAGAGGACAGCTCTTGATCCCTCCCACTTTATAGGTGAAGAAACCAAGCAAGGTATCAAAATTAGTACTCAGTGCCTGAACCAGGTGGCAGCAATTCTGAGTAACAATGAGCCATCAAGTATTACACCACTGTCCAGCCTGGTGCTTCTGCTTACTATCATGGTCTCAACTACAGCCCAAACCAGGGAACACTTAACCCCACCTGGAATAGTACATGCCCAGCCCTTGCTATAAGAAGCAACTGATGTACCTCCTAGCCACTACTGGTGGATCACCTGAGGGGTGGCCACTGATTGGCAAGTTTCATGCCTCTGTGGGGGCAGACTCAGTTCCCAATACTTGTACATGTCCCTCAGGGTCTCCCCCATCACTGGGCTCTGTCTTTCCTGCACTGTAGGGTCCTGGAGAAGAGCCAGTTCTGTCACCCAATAATGTGTACACCTGGAGACATAGTCAGCACAGACCCCTCTATGTCCTGCAGCAACGTGGAGGGCCTGCAATCCCTCTACAATATCTATGGGAACACAGTGGTAGGCACACAAACACATTAAACCTGAAAGGGTTTTTAACATACGGGAAGACAAAACTGAGTTCCAACTTTTGCTTTCTTACCTCCACAACTTCAGGAAATAATTCACAAAAGACTTTATCTTTTAAATTAAACACTAAACTCTGTGCTGCCAGCTGTCTTTTCTAGGAAGAAAGAGAAGGGAAATATCAGCCAGAAAGCTAGTTTTTTGTTGTTGTTTTGGTTTTTTGAGGTGGAGTTTCTCTGTGTAGTACTGGCTGTCCTGGAACTCACTCAGTAGACTAGGCTGTCCTCAAACCCAGAGATCGGCCTGCCTCTGTCTCCCAAGAGCTGGGATTAAAGGTGTATGCCACTACCACCCAGCTAATTTTAATTAAAAAAAAAAAAAAATCTTGCTGGGCAGTGCATGCCTTTAATCTTAGCAAGTGAGAGGCAGGTGGATCTCTGTGAATTCGAGGCCAGCCTGGTCTACAAAGGGAGTTCCAGGACAGCGCCAAACAGTTACACAGAGAAACCCTGTTTCAAAAAAAAAAAAAAAAAAACAAAACTCTTAAAGTGACAGACGTAGTGGTGGACACCCGTAATCCCAGAAAAGCTCAGGTAAGAGGATCACCACAGATTCAATGCCAGCCTGCCCTACTCTACATAATGAGTTCAAGACCACCCTATGCTAATAATGACACCTTAATATTTGGCAAAACAAAATCTCAGAACAGACTCCTGTAGAGTCAAGGATTATAGAAAGCACCTAAAATGCTTTCTCTTCTCAAAAATTAGTCTTATGAAGACTTATTTATGTTTTTGTTATCAATTAACATTAAACATGATTCCTATCATCTAAACATTAGAGAACTAAAACAAGCAGGAACAGATGTACATCCCCTTCTCAAGCCTTACAAAGTCTCCTGAGGAGCACAGGAGTGTCAGTGATGCTTAGCAAGGACAAAAGCAGAGTTGGAGACAGAGATGGGCAGTGAGCCAAGGGCCATGTTCTGAGGCAGCCAAAGCAGAGATTTCTACAATGTGGCCAGGAACAGGGCAGAATCAGCCCAAGATGAGAGGTTGGAGGCCACAAGGCCTCGGGCGAGGCGCTGCCACACCTCACCGTGAAGTCCGATGTCTCTATGCTGCCCAGGGTGGGGCCCTTCTCCACCATGAAGCTCAGAAGCCCTGTTAGAATGGTGGAGACAGACCACGCTGGATTCCATGTGTCTGGGTGGAAATCTGTGATGGAGAGACACAGCCTGAAAGAAAGTGATTTTTGTGAGTAAGAATGTATTCCCATGACCACAGACAGTTCAGAACATTGCATCACCTGGAAACTTACCTTGTGTTGCACTTAAACCTCCCATTGGGGGTTATCATGTAAATACTAGGAGGCTTAAATGGAAATTCTCTGGGAAAAATTAGTTTTCCATGATAATAGCCACCTATACAAAGAAAAACAGTCTTATTAACCTTGTCAACATCCAGTGTGACTGCTTCTCAACTCTCACCAACCTTACCCAGTTTGCAGCTGGCTTCCCGAGCCCATGGAATCCCACTGCCATCTCTCTATGCTGGCTCACAGGCTCAACCCACTACTGACTTTATTCACCAGGGCTCACAATACTCAACATCTCAGCCTGCCCCCCAGCTTCTGTGCCCCACTACAGCTACAGAACACCTCCTCTCTCCCCAGACTCTTCATGTTCCTCCCTTACTGAGAACTGAGTGGTCAGAAGAGAACTTGCAAGGGGTCCCAGCCTCCTCTACTACTTCATTTGGTTCCTAGAAAATGCATTCCTAGCACCAGCATTTGTCTGCAGGGAGAAAAAATAAGGAACATTCACTTGCATTTCAAAGAAAAGGGTCACATGAATGGATGTCGGGCACAAGCTGGGCGAAAGAGGAATCTACATACCATGTAACAGTGCAAATTAGTGAAGAAAACAACATGTTACTGAACATCAGTCAACTAGCTGCACTAAAGAACACATAAATGAAGGCTGGAGAGATGAATTAACAGTTAAGAGCCTGCTATGCAAGCTTGAAGATCAGAGTTTGGATTCTAGAATCCACATAACAAGATGGTCCCATTCAAGCTTACAACTCTTAACAATGAGAGTGATGGAGACAGACGTATTGCTGGGGCTTGTTGGATGCTAGTCTAGCAGAAAAATAAGAGCCCAAGTTCATGGAGAGTGCCTTAATGGAACAGAGAGACCAAACACTTTCCTCTAGCTTCCTCACGTATATGCGGACAAGCAGCAGATACATGTGCACAACTCTACCCACACACCCCCACCCACACTAAAATGATTCTTTGTATATAAATATACATTATTTATTAAATGGTTGTGCCAGGATTAGACCTAGGGCCTTGCACATGCTAAGCAAGCACCCTACCACTGATCTCTATCCCTACTTCCAAGACACAGGCTAAATTACTCAGTGTTTGTGGGTAGCCATGGGTCTCACCCTCAAAGCATGAAGACATCCCAAAGGAATACTTTTACCAAAATGACCACAGCAAGACAGACCCTCTCCCCTGCAATCAAAGTCAGTTCTTGCCATGGAACACAAGAAGAGAACAGAGAAGAGTCTGAGGCATAAGCAAAACCTTGGGCAAAGTCTAGGGACAGAAACCCAGAGAATACAGCAGAACCATAGATGTCTAGTGCTCTAGAGCATTTTGTCAGGCTATGCTTCCCTACTGGTTCGTGTTTTGTCAACATCAACCAATCTGGTGATAGGCACTGTTTCTGGGTTCTACATTATGTTCCACAATCTGTCTCCACACACACCACTGTTTGCTCCTCACTGCTAGAGCTACAGAATATATGGGAAACAGTGGCTCCTCCACTTAATTCTCCTTTTAAAAACATTTTTTTTTGGAATCTACTTTAGGTCCTTTGTCCTTTCATGTAAATTTTAGAGTAAGCCTTAACAGTCCTAAAACATGAAATAGATCACATTAAGTCCTCAACTAGTGGTAAATTATTAGCAAATTTTCCATAGGAAGCCAGTTTTGTACTCTTAGGATGGGTGTGCCCAAGAACACTAGGAACAGGGCTGTCACAATGCTCAGGACAAAGATGTGGAGTTACAGAGGAGTCATTAGGAAGGCAAGAAGGAAGGGCCAGAATGCCTTAGACACAAAGGAGGAAGAACACACCAGGAAAGTATTCATCAACAACATTATACACTAGAGGGCACGACACTGAGGAACGAGGAAAGCCCTTGGACAAGACAACTTAGAGGATGCCTTATAGAATCTGGGAGAAAGAATTATCTGCAACCACCAAAGAATAGTACCATTGAGTAGAGACAGCTGAAAAGGGACAGTAAAAAGGGATGACAAGGGTTCAGTATATTGGCAGACTGAGGGACAGTATCTACAGAACTACACAGAACAGGATAAGGAGTTGGAAGAATAAGGGACACAGCATTTAATGGCTAAGACACTAGAGCTATGGGTTAAGAAATAGGACCAGGTGGTAGCAGAGTGACATGGTCAGGGTTGAGTTGGCAAGACCCAGTAATCTCCAAGACTCTGATCACATATCCTTCAGGGCAACCCTCGTTCTCCCTGTGTCCAGCCCATCCCACGTCAACAAACCATGGCTGGTCTAGTACTAGGAGAGTTCTTGTCACACAGTGCTTAAAGCTCACTATTTACTTTAAAATTTAAAAACAGGATGGAGAGGTTCAACAGTTAAAAGCACCTGTTGCTTTTGGAGAGGACCCGGGGTCTGTTTATAAGCATCCATATGACTGCTCAAAACTGTCTATAGTTACAAGGAATCCAACACCTCTATGAGTTCCTGCATATACATCATGTCACATATATATATATGTGCACACACACACACATACACACAAATATATTTAAAAATATATATTTAAAAATTAAAATATATTTTTAAAATATACTTAAAAATTAAAAACAATAGCAAGGCAGTGGTGGCACACACCTTTAATCTCACTTGGGAGGCAGAGGCAGGTTGATTTTGGTGAATTTAAGACCAGCCTAGTCTAGAAAGCAAGTTCCAAGACAAGCTCCAAAACTACACAGAGAAACCTGGTCTCAAAAAAATTAAAAACAAAATACAAGAAATACCAAAAACCAACCTAACCTAAAAACTCAAAATAGTTCTTCAAGCATGCCAAACACACAGTGTTTTCATATTATTTTTACCAGCCATTTGGGAGCCCATTTTTCACATCTATTAGGGACTGATCAAAAGAAATTTCAAGGGCTCCTTGAGACACATACCCTGTTTGCCTCCCTCATTTCACCACACTCTGCTGTTGTAGGGCTCAAGCAAGTGTCTGGTGTTTGGCACTGTGACACCATCATCATGACATGCACAAACATTTATCTCCCCATAGCCCCTGCAGAATCATTATCTAGAACAAATCACCCCAAAACGTGGGCTTCCTGGACCAAAGGAGAACCTAGTGAAGAAGCCTCAGCCAAACTATCTACAAAAGAGCTTGCCCTTTTGCTCCCAAATAATACTTTTCTTTTTGTTTATACTGAGGATGGAACCCAGAGCCTCACAGAACCACTAAAACCTCTTCTCTGATGTGTTCCACAAGGTTTCCACCTACAGGCAAAGACTTGTTGTTTTTACCTTCTTAAGTTAGGCCTGATGGTTGGAAGCAGAGGCACTGCCCACATGGCAAGTGCTCTGCCCTGGGCTTGCCTGTGAGATGGTGTCAATCTTGCCATAGTACCCTAGAAATCTACTGACTGACAGTTCCAAGGACTAATCTGAGGGATCAGAACACCAGGTCAACACTAGCAAGCAGAAAAGAGAGGTGAGAACCTGTTCCTGTATCCTTCCTAAGCCTCACATGCCTCCACTTAGCTTGGAAACTATTCTGAAGACTAATAATTACCTAGCCTAAAGAAAAGAAAAAAGGGGGGGGCACTAGGCAGTGGTAGTGCATGCCTTTAATCCCAGCACTTGGAAGGCAAGCAGATCTCTGTGAGTTCAAGGCCAGCCTCGTCTACAAAGTGAGTTTCAGGACATTTTTTTTTGCTTTTTTATTAATTTATTTTTTACATTCCAATCCCAATTCCCCCTTCCTTCTCTCCTCCCGCCTGCTCCTTGGAGAGGGTAAGGTCTCCCCGAGGAAGTCTACTAAGCCCCATCATCTCTTTGAGGCAAGATAAAAGCACCTCTCTACACCCCTGTGTCTAGGCTGGGTATCTCTCCATATAGAATGGGCTCCACTAAGTCAGTTTGTGCATTAGAGTTAGATCTTGGACCCACTGCTACTTCAGTCTTATGCAGGTTCCCCATTTGTCAGACAGGAGTCAGTGATCTCTCATTAGCTCAAGTCAGCTGATTCTGTGGGTTTCCCCATCATGGTCTTGACTCTTTTGTTCATATTATCCATTCTCCCTCACTTTGACTGTACTCCAGGAGCTTGGCCCAATGGTTAGTTGTGAATTTCTGCATCTGCTTCCATCTGTTTCTGGAAGAGGATTCTGGCTTCTCTGGGGCTGAGGATTGTAGACTGGGTATCTTTTGCTTTATGTCTGGTATCCACTTATGAGTGAGTACATACTACATTTGTCTTTCTGGTTTTAGGTTACCTCACTCAGGTTGGTTTTTTTCTAGTTCTGTCCACTTGCCTGCAAGTAGCACAATTTTTTTTTTGGTTTTTCGAGACAGGGTTTCTCTGTGTAGCTTTGGAGCCTATCCTGGCACTCACTCTGGAGACCAGGCTGGCCTCAAACTCACAGAGATCCACCTACCTCTGCCTGCCAAGGGCTGGGATTAAAGGCGTGTGCCACCAAGACCCGGCGCACAAATTTTTTGACAACATTTCTTTTGCCCTTAAACACAGAAGAATGTTTTACAATTTATTCCAACCAATTACTATCTGTTTTCCCCTGGACTGGAAAGATGGCTCAACAGTTAAGAGCACTTGCTGTTCTTGCAGGAGGATCCAGGTTCAATTCCCAGCACCCACATGGTAGGTCATAATCATCTCTAACTCCAGATCTGACACCCTCTTCTGTGGGCACCAGGCACACATGTGGCATATAGACATATAGGCAAGCAAATACCCATACACATAAAATAAAGCTTTAAAAAATATCTTTTTCCCACCTCTAACCAACATAAGAGGCTGGGAAATGCAGATGGTAATTACAAACAGTTTAGAAATACTAAGATGAGATTCTGGTAACTCTGATTTATCTACTACATATCCAAAACAGAAAGACTGTTATTTACATGATAGGAATGATTCATATTTTTTCTACTCACCTTCATAAGGAGTCATCTCTGGGCCTCGGACAACATAATGCCTGCAAGAGAGAGGAGCAAATGACTTGATCTGTAGTCCATGAATTCCCTAAAACTACAGAGTTCTCACAAAAGGCCTGACTGTTGTTTGAGGACAATACCCACCACTCTAAGCAACAAGGGGACAGACACACAGATCATAGCTCATTCTAAATCCTTCCCTCCTAGGAATTTGGTGTTTTAGTGGGTGGCAGACAAAGGTGCCTAGGAGAGAAGGATTTAGAATGAGGGACTCAGAGACCTCTAATCATAGCATGAAGAGGCGTTCCACCCACAACAAAGAAATTCCCCAAATTAGGTAAAATATAAACCATCAATCAAACTTGTTCCTATATCAGCCAACTATGTCCCAGGAACCACATCTGATTTTCATCACTGGAACAGGGTTAGTTCTAATGCCACCAAAGAGGCCCCTCAAGCATTTCCTCTGTCAGCAACATCCAATCTGCAAAATAATTCTTTTTAATTTGGGAAAATCTTCTTCTCTAGATTTTGAAAATTCTAAAAGTAGTAAAGCTTTTGTTTGTTGAGACAGGGTTTCTCTGTGTAACAGCCCTGGCTGTCCCGGAACTTTTTTTGTGTCCAGGCTGACCTTGAACTCACAGATCTCCCAGCCTCTTCCTCTTGAGGGCTGGGACTAAAGGCATGCACCACCACACCTAGCAGTTTTGTTTTGTTTGTTTGTTTTTGTTTTTTTTTTTTTTAAGATCAAACCCAATAAAGCAAGAGAAATGTCTTTATTAAAAAAAAAAAGGGGGGGGCTCACTACACAGTACTGGCTAGCCTGGAACTCAAGAGATCCACCTGCCTCTGCCTCTGCCTCTGCCTTCTAAATGCTGGGATTAAAGGTATGTACCACACCCAGTGAGAAATGCTCATCAAAGCTGGTAACGAGCATTTCCACAGAGAACATATAATTTCCTGACTACACTTTTAACACAGCAAAAGAGCTACCACGAAACAAATATTTCCACTATATTTGTCAGCTTGACAATTATGAGCTCTTGGCCTAGGCCAGAGTCAGGGGTTAGTGTCAAGACTTTGCCACCAATGCTCCCACGATAGCTAATTCCCAGTGTCAAGAAGCAAAAAAGCAGCTTAGCCCTAATTTACATGAATAACATCTGAGAGCTTTGTATACCCAAAGCCTGCAATGAGGACTTCCCAAGAAGATTTCTCCTTTCAGCCCTAGCCTAAGCCAAGCAGAACTAACTCCCTAATATTCTTGACACAGCATTCATTGCGAAGTCCAGAGTATTGGCAGGCTTGTCAAGTGTTCCTCCAAAGGAGGAATTACCGGACTGCCTCTGCCATGACCAGGCCCACAAGACAGACCACTATAGAACCTGCAAGAGAGTTACTATGATGCAGGGTGAGCAGGAATGCAGAATCTTACCATTCAAGAATATTTGAAGGGAGGGGCTCCGCACAGATATAAGGCACTGGGTCTTTCTTAATTCGAAGGTAGTCCTGTTTCAACCTCTGTGTTGCTGTTGTTGGAGCTCTCTTATTGCTGTTACTGCTCATCTATTTAAAGAAAAAGAAAAAGCATCTCTATTTACAATGAACTGAAGAGCATATACATGTTTTCCTTACTATCAACACCTTCAGCAGATGACTATCTCTGCTTTCCTTTCTGCAGCCCACCAACCATCATGTCTTTCCCGCTTTTTCTGTGTCCCTGCCATCATTACCACTTTCATTTATTCAACATGACACCCAGTATCTAACAGAGATGCATGGTAGAAAGAACCATGAAGCTGCATTCCTGTTCTCAGAGAATGCACATATTAGTTCATCCAAGTGGGATCTGGATAGGCATGCTGAAGCCAGCCTGCACCAGCTCCAAAGAGCAACTCCACACATCCTTTAACTCTGTTCGGCAACACCTCAGTAATGAATGTTTCACAAGAAATTAGTACCACAGGCCTTCTCCTGGCTTGAAAGCCTGTTATGCATTTATCGATGGTCACAAGGAACAACAGTAGGGGCAAAGAGATGAGGTGATACTTTCAGAGATCTAAATGAATGTACTAAGCAAAGGAGAGTAGTAGGGGAGCACATTGGTCACCATGTCAGGCAGGAGCTCAAACACAGTGAAGAAGAAAGAACAAGACTAGCCAGAGAGACAAAGCCAAAATTCCAGAATCCCAAGAATATTAGGCCCCAATCTAAAGGTATATGTGGTGGTTTGAGTAAGAATGGCCTCTATAGACCTACTTCTAGTGGCACTATGAGCAGATATGGCCTTGTTGGAGAAACTGGATCACTGTGAGAGCAGGCTTTAAGGTCTCAGATGCTCAAGCTAGGCTGAGACAGGCATTCACTTCTGCTTCCTGTAGATCAAGATGTAGAACTCTCAGCTCCTTCTCTAGCACCATGTTCATCCAAATGCCATGCTTCCTGCCATGACGATAATGGACTAAACCTCTGAAACTGTAACTTTGCAGCCCCAGTTAAATGTTTTCCTTTATAAGGTGTCTCTTCACAGCAATAGAACACCAACTAAGACAGTACATCAGGACCTTCTATTAGGAAGATCACTCTAGGGCCTCAACATAAGGCAGCAGTGAAGGACACATACAGGGAGTGACAATGACAACTATGACAATGTTGAAGAAAAGTGACTAGGGCTTTTGAGATAGCTCAATGAGCAGGTAAAAGTGCTTGCCAGACAAGATTGAAGAAAGGAGTTTGATCCTCACAATCCACAAAGTAGAAGGAAAAGAACTATCTGCTTCAAATTGTCCTCTGACCTTCACACACAAGCCCAGACATGCACAAACATACATGCATCCACAAAAATAAATATAACAAAAACTTTTAAAAAGAAGAGACCAGCTGGATGTGGTGGCACACATCTGTAATCACAGCACTTGGGAGGCAGAGAAAGGCAAATATCTGAGTTTGAGGGCCAGACCTCAGTCTAGATAGTGAGACTCTGTCTCAAAAGAAAAAGGAACTGAATCAGGGACTCAGACTCCTTAAGACTACAGAAGACAAAACAAGGAGGCAGTGATGGAGGGGAATAAGGTTCCCACTTCCTCGGAAGTCAGATGAGCTCCTACTTGCTCTTTTCTCATGATTTAAGACAGAAACAAAAAAAAATTCTGCATCTAAAAGTAAAGTGTGAAAACTATTACTCTAAAATACAATTGAGGGGCCACTTGAGAATATACAAATTAGAGAGGAGATAATAAAACTGGTGAGATTAAGATAGTTCAGTTGATAAAGATACTTGTTGCCAAGTCTGATGACCTGAATTCAATTCCCAGGACCTATATGACAGTAGAGAACTGACTATCACAAGCCGTTCTCTGACCTCTACTCATATGCTATGGCACACACACCTCCCTACTACCAAAAATAAATATATTTAAGTGTAAGTGAAAAAAGCAGGAGATGAGCTTGCCTATAACAGAGTAGGTTGGACAAGAGCAGTTACAGATGGCCATATCTTGTGATACTGGAAACCCAGATTTGTCCACTGCAGCCTCATCCTTTTTCTCCTACCAGTATTACTTGGCCACTCTAGCCCTAATCTGTCTCACACAGCGCTGTCTGTGTCACTTTAACCATGACTCTAGACATCAGCAAACATCAATAGCTTCGATTCCCCATCCTGACCTCCCAAACTAGATAAACCTGAACTTAACCCTATCCTAATCTTCGTATGAATTAGTCCCGGCAGACAGCCACATGTTCTTTCATTCTCTTCAGTATTTGCTTATACATATTTGACAGTCAACAACTTTTAACCCTCTGACCTGGCTAATTTCTTGGTAGACACATCACCACAGACCTCTGCATCTGCCTCCTCTACTAGTACAGATAACCTCATAACAACCAGGGCTTGGTATGTACTTACTCTGTACACTCAGGGCCTACAGAGGAGACAGATCAGCCAGGGTATCATCCACCACAGCCCTCTCATGTGCACAGTCTCAGCAAAAGTGCCCATGTGGCTACTCAATTAAGGAAGAGGGGGATGAACCCTGATCCATGCATTACTGGTTCACTTCCTTCCAATCTCGAAAACCATAATGCAGAAACACATTACTTTCCTGTCAACCACTAGAACCTCAGATCTCTTCACACTTCAGTTCATCTTGTGCACTAAAATCAATGCAGTTTAACCATCCACTCCCCACCAAAGACAGCAGATAAATGGCAACAGCTTCTTTCTCTGCCAAACAAACCCTTAAAACAACCCATCTTGACCTGATTCTCATAGCACCTAATAAAGCCCAACCTTCCCAGCCCAGTTTGGACTGTAGGAAATACACCTACATCCTTCCCTACCTAGTCTGAGCTACATCCATCAGGGTCAAATGTCTCCTTTTCTGTCCTTCACAACCACACCACTACCATCACTACCCTCATGTTCTAAGAGTATAGTGCACAAGAACCTTTCTGGCAGAATCAAGGGCTTTTGCCTGATGCTTCCAAGAATGCTCACACCAGGAACAAGGTTACTGTCCAGCATGGCCAAGAAATGCTTCCAGAAAGCATTGTCCCCAAGTTCTTGGCTTCGGAAGCCATGTGGGCCAGAGAGCTCAACTTGCCCAGCACCTAGTAAGAAACAAAGCAATAGCCAATGATCCACAAACAGAACCACAAGACGAATTCTTTCACTTATGTTCACCCTTTAAGTTAGTACTCCAACATGTACAGTTAGTGAACACACACAGGAAACTAGCAAGGTTAGTTGTGCCAGACTAAAATGTAACTCAGTTGGTTAAGTGCTTGCCTAGCATGCACGAAGCCCTAGGTTTGATTCCTGGCACCACATAAACAGAGCATGGTGGTGCATACCTGTCCTCCCAGTAGTAGATAGGTAGAGGCAGAGGGTCATAAGTTCAAAGCCATCCTAGGCTATACAGCTTGGAATACATGAGATCCTGTCTTTAAAAAGAAGAAAAAAAAAAAAGTCCAGTGTGGTGAAACATATCATTAATCCTGACACTTAGGTGGCACAGACAGGCAGATCTGTGTGAGTTTGAGGTCAGCCTGGTCTACAGAGTGAGGTTCAGCATAGCCAGGGCTACTAAGAGAGACCCTGTCTCAAAAGAAAGAAAGAAAGAAAGAAAGAAAGAAAGAAAGAAAGAAAGAAAGAAAGAAAGAAAGAAAGAAAGAAAGAAAGAAAGAAAGAAAGAAACTGATTTTGCCTAGTCAGTCACAAGACAAAGGTCCCTTGCTTTCCCTTTTTTTTTTTTTTTTTTTTTGAGGCAAGGTCTCACTGTGTAGTTCTGTCCTGGAATTCACCATTTAGACCAGACTGGCCTCAAACTCAAAGATGCTCCTGCCTCTACCCTGTCCCCCAAGTGCTGATATTAATGGAATGCACCACTATGACTGGCTTTAACTTTTTTTTTTCCCTTTCTGCACTGGAAATTGAACCTAGAGCCTCACACATGGTAGGCAAGTATTCTATCACGAAGCTGCATCCCCAGCCTCAAACTTGCTTTTAGACATAAAATCATACTTATGATTCAACTATTCAGTTCCCCTAATTGCTCCTCCTTTACCTCACTGAGAACATCACTTTCTTTCATGATTCTCCTAGGGGACTGCAGGTGACAAGAAGCAGCCAGTCACTAGCAGGGTAAGTCTTTTCTGTCGCACATCACCGCACAAAGGTGGTAGTTCCTTTTCTTTTGGACATCTCTCTTGCACAGAATACAGACAGGTCAGATGACCATGTGGAATGAGACCTTGGCCTGAATGATCAGAAGGGTACATGACACACCCAAGGCCAGGATTTTCAGGGAGTTTTACCTTCTCCAGGATTACTTCACAGGCTGGATGGAAGTCAGAGGCTCACAGAAGCAGTCAACCACCACTTTCTCACACACACATGACAATGAAGCTGACACTGAGTTCAGGAACACCATGGATGTGTAGACTAATGAATCCAAATTCTAGCACCCAGACCTGAAGATCATACACAGGACTTTCCAATTAAATAAAATCCTAAAATTCCTTTTTTTTTTTCCTGACACTAAATTACCATTTCACACACTTAATAAATCACTACTTACGAAAAAGCTAGTTTTATGCACCTGCTAGCTTACAATGGACCATGGCCTTACCTCTTCCTAGGTGCCTATCTGGATCTGATGAAATGCTGGGAACTTGACTTGTGTTACCTACTAAGTGATGTACACTGAAAAGGAGGTGAGGTCATCGGTTGAGTCTGCAGTTAGTAAAAGTGGATACTAAGCCCCCACCGTCCTCACCCCGCCCCCCGCAGAGGACAGGGTCTTGTTTAGGATCCAAGTCCCACTCTTTACTGTCAAGTGTTCTATTACCTCCAAGGGCATAACGGTGGACACGCTCGTTTCTGTTGGGGTTTATTTAGTAGTCCGAGGTTCTAAGTGTTCAAGAGGAGAGTGGGGCACTCAACGGCTGCCACTCTACGGCACAAACTCATCAACCCTGGCTACTCCTAGAAGTATTTCAAGTTCAACAACCAACAGGCCTCTTCGTGGGAGATTCTGCCGCGTGGCAAACCCAATCTCTAACCTTCCCAAAGGACCAACCCCAGCCAGGAACCCAACCCCAAGCGCCCTCAGTAACCGACCTCGGGTCCGCAAAGGGACGCTCGGGGTCGGGGCACAGCAGGCGA